TTCGATTACATTGAAAATGAGAAAAGGGAATGGAATTATATTTGAATTTGGAGCTTGGGACTGTTGCATTGTCACGGGAAAATGATCGCGAGACAGAGAGATGTGTGATTTTTGTGTTTTTTCCATTGATGTATCGACAGCAATGATTTCGGCAATCAATTAGCGCGCGGCAATCATTCATCAGACTTTACGTGAACTTTTTTTTCTGTATCAGAATACATGATCTGTTAATTATTCGTCGCGAGGATAATTAAAATTGATTCCTCGATGCGTATCGCGAAGAGAAGCGGTTGTTTGGTACATTTGCATAATGGAAAAGTGTCGGAACAATAAAATTCCACATTCCATTAAGCTACATGTGTGCGAGCGCCGTTAGTAGCGGTGGTGATTCGGCATTTAGTTATTTTCAATCTGGCTGTGTGCGCGTGCGTGCTTGCCATCGTCCAAGAGCAAAAATATTAACGAGAGTGCTCTCACAGAGAGCGCCCCGTCATCCTCGCAAATCTCCGCGTGGCAAGACTGTAGACCACGTTCGCGCATAAATCGTCTTGTGGGCCTCCTTTGAGTCGCTTTCCCTCTTCCTCTCTTCCGGGACGAATAAAAGCGGGAGGCTGGTCGCGCGAAGAGGCTCTCGAACGATAACGATTAATTAAAATAGCATCCTCTTGCATGGTGAGCGATGGTCGCTATGAATGGTTATGTTCTCCAATTATCGCGCGAATTATCTCACGAATGAGATAACAGACTTCAAGAAAGATTATTCGATTTTCACGCGGCCTCGGCATTTTCGCGTAGACGTGAAGTGCCGAGAGAACTCTCGTCGCGAGCCGTAAATTTGGCGAATCTATCGGACCGTTTCGAGGGAGTTGTACGCGCAGAGGAAGCTGGTACAGCGGCCGCGTGACTGTCGCGGTCGCCGCGGGTTGAGAGCACCGGCGCGGTTAACCGCGGTAACCGCAGCGACCGGTTCGTAGCCGCCTGTCGGCGCGGCACGGCGTGGAGCGGCGCAACGCGGTACGGTGTCTCGCTCGTCGGTGCTTTTCGCGGTATATCGCGCCCTTCCTCGCGCATTCCCTCGTCCTCGTCGCACTTCCATAGCGTGGCTACGCTCCTCGCGCCTTCCTTTCAATTCTCCTCCGCCATTCGGTGAGCACCGGAGCCGAGCCGAGCTGAGTCGAGCCGAGCCGGGGACACGTAGAGGTATCCACGTTGTGAGTGAACACGCAAACTGGCAGGCAGGCAGGCAAGCAGGCAGGCGAGGCGAGGCAAGGCGAAGCGAGGCAAGGCGGCTTCGAGTAAACCGCAGCCGACCAAGCGCGACCGACAGCTTCGCTAACACTCCGCGGCACTGCCTTATATTCCTTCTCGCCCTGTGAAAACAAGATAAAGAGCCGGCCGGCGATGCTAGCGGACGTGAAAGAGCGCGGCGGTTGGACGCCCAGGCAAAGGGGGAGAATAGTCTCGTGCGTTGAATCGCGCAAAAAGCACATGATTCTCGCGATAAACGGAACCACGATCTTAGCGTACGTACGTACGCTATGTACGTATGTACGCGCGCGCCGCGCTTCGTCGCGTATTTATTATATATTTCATTAGGAGAATCTCTCTCTTTTTCTTTTCTTCTCTCGGGCTTTCGCGCGCATCGGTACGTGTCAGAGGGAGTGCGAGGGGGGACACGAAGCGTCGTGCATACGCGTACGTGTATTACCCATCCCGCGTTCCGCGGAGCATGACAATGGGCTTTTCTAATCCTCCTTTGGATTAAGGGTCGAAAGCGGGGATGGTTGCACGGCGCGGTGCGGTGAGGCGTGCAGCAGTGGTGGAGCGTATGGCGCGGTAGGGCTACAGAAAGATAGATAGATAGAGAGAGAGAGAGAGAGAGAGAGAGAGAGAGAGAGAGAGAGAGAGAGAGAGAGAGAGAGAGAGAGAGAGACG